TTTAGGACATTAATTTTTCTTTCTTCTATTATCAATTGTTTATCCTTTGAGCCTCTTAAACCTTGTCTCTAATTGATTTCTTCGTAAATCTCACATGGATTTCTTTGGGGAGATTATTTCTTCTTGCATATGCTGAACTCGCCCTGTAAGTTGCCTCCACATATTGTTACAAGTCAACTGCTTCCATCCCTATTTCTGCGGCCAAAGCCTTACTCATTAATGTCTCTAGATCAGACCTGAGTAAAGTGCGGCCCGAGGGCCACATACAGCCCGTGAGCCGCTCCTGTCCGGCCCGCTGGTCGTCACTCCAGTCTGGTGTTAAAGCACTTGTTCAAGCCCAAGACAGACTGGATTTCTCTCACTGAACAAATTGAACATCAAAACCATTTATATCTTTTTGTCTAAAATTGATCAGTTGCTTATCTTTAACATACCGCAAAAAGCCTCTTTAGTATTTGTGAAGACTAACAAGTTTAAAATAAAAACAATCATAACATCACTGTGTCATTTTATTTTTAAGTAAAGTTGGTTTGGCCGACGAACACAGTTCAGATTTTTCATGTGGCCCCTATAGAAATTAATTGCTCACCCCTGCTCTAAATCCTCCCCTCCCTTTTCTGCCACATTTTGAAATCTAAGCATCTTCGATGTTCTCTCCATCTCTAGCATTATCAGCCTGTTGTCACTTTGTTTTTGATTCTTCTGCACTGCCTCTAATGTTTCTTCAGTTTGATTCACTCTAGCATCTGTTCCTCTAACTTTTTTCTCAAGATCTTGTGTCTTTGGTTGTTTTTTTTATCTATCTGTTTGGCATCTGAAATCTCTAGTTTCATCTCTTTCATCTGATCTGCTATTTGGCTGAGATGTTCATTTACTTGTTGTAATCCTGCTGTTAGCAAATTTTGCATGGTAGTCTGCCATTCTTTGTTTGGTACTTGTGCCACTAGTTTTCCCATACTTTGAGACTGGGCAGGAGAGGTTCCTGGCGTTTGGGGCTTTGGTTTTTTGGAGGCCATTTCGGTCTTTTCAATGGCAATATCTCAATTTTTCCTCCTACTGCTCTGAATGGCTCCTGCATCCAATCTGTGCTCGGGTGATTTCTTCAGAGGGAAGAAATACCAGGTTGCTGCCCAGCTTCTTTCTCCTCTGTTGCTCACCAACTTCTTCCGGGAGACTTCTCCTAGTCTCCCCTTTGGCTGTTCATCTTCTGAAGGTCCCCCAGACTGGATGTTTCCAGCTTTCCCCAGGAGCTTCTCCGGGAGCTGCTGACAGCACCATGACAAGCCCTGCCTATCCCTCTAGATCAGCAATTCTCAAAGGGGAACATGATGCATTTGGAGGGGGCACAGACTGAAATTTGTGAGAAGGGGAGCCCCAAGGGTTTCTGCCCCCCGCCCGGTAACTGAATTGATGAAATACCTAAGCAGCAGCAGCCTGGCCTTTGCGCAGGTTCCCTGCTGTTTTCATGGCTTTCTCAGAACAGAATAGAGGCAACTATGCTTGCTACTTTCCCAGTGATGGCTGATGCAGGCACCCTGTCTTTTTTTCATTGGAAGCCAGTCACCCTGTCTGTTTTTAATTAGAAGCCAGCCATGAGTGCATCCTAACCTACTGAGGCAGTTCTGTCAGCTGTCTACCCAGCAACTGCTGATGCTGGCACCCTGCCTGTTTTTATTTGAAGCCAGCCATGATTGCAGCAAATTAGCTGCCAGTTGCTTCTTTTTGTATTGTATTGTAGTGTGTCTCCTCATGACTGTAGTTGAAATATTGCACTGAACAACTCTTAGGAAAGCATGCTGGAGCCTACAATATGCTCACAGCTAGCTGGATGATGCTGAACTAAGGACTGTGCTGGAGAAGAAAGAAGTGGTGCAGAAAAGAAAGGGAGTTTTTCGTACTTCTTGTGTCATTGTGCTTCGTTTTTTTTAACTTGTTGGGTCTGGTGAGACTGTGTATCCTTTCCTGCACATCCCTCCCAGGCTGGTGTTGCTACAAACACACATGAAATTGCTGCAATGGAATGGAACATTCCATTCCATACCAAGCTTCCTTCCCTTCAACTTACATAGGCCGTTGTTGCTGCAAAAACGTCCTTTGCAGCTCAGAAAATGCAGGTGGGTGCATATGTCATGGTTTGTGTATGCGTGGAGGGAGTCAAAAAGCTGGTAGTAGAGCATGGTGGGACAAATGGCAGCAGGAGGAGGGACGCAGGGCTGGGTTGCACTCTCTCTCAAGGGGCCTTTCTTGTCTCTAAGGGGCAAGAGGTCTTCTGGGCTCTTTGTTTCATTGCTTGCTCTAAGAGCAAGTTGGTGACCATATATACCATATACCATGTATAAGTCAACCCACTTTTTTAGCATCAATTTTGGAACCTAAATTCAAGTATACAGTATTCAAGTGTACAGAGTGCTGTCCTCTGAAGATGCCGCCGCAGAGACTGGCGAAACGTTAGGAAGAACAACCTTCAGAACACGGCCAAAGAGCCCAAAAAACCCACAACTATACAGTATTTATTCATTATTTTCTTTCTTTTTAAAAAAATCATATTTTTTATTAATTTAAAAAAATAATCCTACCCATGAGTTTCTTGGCAAAAAAGTCAACAGTATTCTGTGGAATACTTACCATATAGTTTCATTGTATCTCTGCAAAACCCATCTTTGCCTATGTGTTTGAACTCCATAACTTCATTTTTAAATGAAAGCATGAGGCTAAACAAATGGGTGGGAAGGGAACATTGGGATACCTTGTATCCAGAGAAGAAAGATAACCCCTTGAATTTCTTCAAAAAACTTTGAGAGAATTTCAAGAGGAGGCCAACACTGACACAAATGGATGAAAGGAATGTTGTTTGTCTGGTGGATTAAACCAGATACTAAAGGAATGTCTATTTTTGAAGAAGTCAAAAGTTACTTAAGAGAGAACAGTTTCCAACTGAGAATATAATTTCTTGTGTAACTGATGGTGCTGTGATTGGTCAATACAGAGGATTCATTGCCCATCTAAAAAGAGTTATACCTTCTGTCTTTTTGGATTAGAGTGATCTGCCAAATAAATTTTGAACAATGTATTCACGAAGGCTTTCATGGCCGGGATCTAATGGTTGTTGTGGGTTTTTCGGGCTCTTTGGCTGTGTTCTGAAGGTTGTTCTTCCTAACGTTTC